TTTCAGGGAACAAAAGTGAGATGCCCCAGTGCAAATTTACACAACTGGTATTGTAAGTTCCATTAGGACAGAAGCTGTATGTCAACTAAGTTTTTTTAAAAATATCTCCTCTAGAATAAAGCTTTGCACAAAGTGTGTGTTTCATAAGTGTTTGTAAGAAAAAGAAAGGAAGACTGAAGGAAGGAAGGAAGAAGGAAGGAAGGAAGAGGGAAGAGAGGAAGAAGGGAATGGAGGAGGGAAAAGGGAAAGGAGAAAGGAGAGAGGGAATGAGGGGAAGAATGAAGGAGAAAAGAGGGGAAGAAAGGAAGGTGGAAAAGAGAGAAAGAAGGGAGGTAGAGGATGAAAGGAAGAGAGAAGGAGAAAAGAAGGGAAGAAGGGAAGAAAGAGAAGAGGGAAAGAGAGAAGGGAGCAGAGAAGGAAAGAACAAAGGGAGGAAAAAGGGAAGGAAGGAGAAAAGAAGGAAGAGGGCAAAAAGCTAAGGGAGGAAGGAAGGGGGAATAAAGAAAAAGGGAGGAAAGAAGGAAGGAAGGGAGGGAATGAAGACAGGAAGAGAGGGAAGAAGGAAGGAAGGGAGGGAGGGAAAGACAAACATGAACAAACAGGAGGGAAGCAAGGAAGAAGGACTGAGGGAGAAAAGGAGAGCCAGGCAGAGCTCCATCACAGGCCCCTCTGATTCTAAATCAATCCATCCTTCCAGTATACCATAGTGTGCCTCACCACATAGAGGGAGATCAAAAAATAATCTCACTTTCCCCACACCCTGTTGCATTTCCCATCTCTGATTTTGTTTATGTTATTCCTCTGATAGCCTCTGCCGACCAGAAGTTAAGAAACCGTGCTGAACTTTGGCTGTCAGGTCTAATGCCAATAAAATGAAAGACCCAAGTGCCGGTATCAGAATGATAACAAGATCCAGAGTAACCAGAGTTCTTCAGAACAAGATCCAGAGAGTCCAGCATAAACTCACTACAACTGCAGAGACCCGAACAGGACAGAATTTCCTGATGCTGAGGGAGGAAAGACATTGGTACGTACCCATTCCTCGAGCAGGAAGGAACTGAGGACTCACCTGAATGGCAAGGCTGGGAGAGACTTCAGCACCCATAAAGGCCAACCCCCCTCATTTTACAATAGAAGGAACTGAGGCTCATATGCCCAAAGCCATGTATCAGAGCCAAGATTCAAACCTCTGACACCAAAGATGATGCTTTTTCTACTGTTACCATGTTGTCCGTTAAATAAAGAGAGAGGAAAGGAAGAAGAAGGATGGGGATGGGGGTGGTGGTGGGTAACAGAGGGGGCGAGGTGTGTACTTCTCATGAACGAGTGACTCAACTGTCCTATCCAAACTCAACTGGCATTTATCCACAACACTTTGTCAGGGAGGAGGCTACAGCAGCAGAATTGTCTTCCACCTTCCTCAGTGGCCCCACATTTTCCTGGCCATCTAAAATCAACAACCATATTCTCTTTCCTCCTCCACACTGTATTTAGAAGACAGCTTCACTGTGTGTGCTCACATAGCAGCAGAATCTAATCAGAACATTATCTGCATATGCATGCCTCACTCCCTACTCTGAAAGGCAGAGCATCCACTTATCCAGCTGAGAGATTTAGGACTGTGGTCCCCATGCAGCAGTAATGGCGGTGCTTTACTTCCTTGTTGTCATGGAGATGGGTAGGGCTTCAGATGCCAGTCGGATGCTCTCTTAAATACAGAAACAATGCACTCCCATCCCTAATCATTTGACTTCACGAGTTCTGGAAATCAGGAAAGAGAAAAACATTCAACTCCACTTGAGCCATTTGGGAACCTGTTGCCTATTAGAGCCAAACTCGATCTATCTTGCAGAACCTGTCCGCTAAACACCTGGAAAGGTTCTCCTGTGCTCTAGTAGACAATGATGATAGTGGTTTGCATTTCTATAGTGCTTGACAGTTTATAAAGCACTTTCTTCTCCTAACATCCTTGTGAGTGATGTAGTACAAGGATGGTTCTCCCCATTTAAAGGATGAGGAAAATAAAGTCCAGAGAGGTCAGAGTATGATTCATAGTTCAATTTATAACCCTCTTTTCACAGCATAGGTAGGCTGTATCTGCTTTTATTATTCCCATTTTACAAATAAGGAAATGGATTTTCAGAAAGATTTGACTCATAAACCTTGCCAGGGACAGCATTGGCCATGGAACCCAGGTTTCCCCGACTCCAAGGCCAACGTTCTTTCTGCTAGATTTCACAGACCTTAGGTCTACAGCTGGAAGGGTCCTCAGAGTCCATCCAGCCCAACCCCCTCATTTTATAGATAAGAAAACTGAGGCCCAGGTTGGTGATTTGCCTAAGGTCACACAGGTAGTTAGCTCCAGAGGTAAGAGGCAGCGTGACTGAATGGTAGGATTAGGGATATGGAATAAAGATTCCAGCTTAAATCCTGCCTTAACCGTTATTCCCTATGTATGTTACTATGGACAAGTCACAGTTTTGACAGGTCTCAGTTTGCTTCTCTGTAAATAAGGAGGGTGGACCACCTGATAAGTCTCAGGTCCCATCCAGCTCCTGATCCTACAAATGGGGCCTGCTTTATTCCCCCATGAAGGACCAGGGGAAGGGTTTAGAGAGATGAGTCCTCACCAGGAGTTCTCCCTCCTGTGAGTGGCAAAAGCTAGTAACAAAACAAACCGCACAGTTCTCACAATCTCTTGGACAAATCTGGAACACTGAACGCCTGATCACTTGCTGCAGCCGTGGGCAGTAATTCAATGAACATATTTTCAATAATGGAGATTTGATTAGGCTACGTAAGGCCATGAATGACATACAATTATCCAATACTGTTAATGATCACAGCAAAGGAGGAAGCATGCAGAGAAGCAGAGTACAAGGGAAAGAGAAGCAATATTAACTAAGTGGCTGGTATGCAGGTTGTCTGGGTGGCATTCTTTCTGAAGAACTATTCTGAGAGAGAAAAACACAGCAATCCTTGATCCTCTCATTAAGGTCTAACAGGCGCCATCTTTTCTGCATTAGCTAGCACAAGTACAATCGTTATGTGCCAAGCATAGCTAGATGAGTAAATCTTTTCAATGTATTGATTTATTTCACTTCCTTAAATAGGTTATTGATCCTCTCTTTCCAAAGATAAAGAAATAAAAACACTTTTAATCTATGTAACTGGTTACAGTTTTAAACTTTTGGGATTTGTTTGTTTTTTAATTCTTTTCATGGCAGCTAGGTGGTGAAATGGCTAGAACCCTGGGCCTGGAGTCAGGAAGAACTGAGTTCAAATACGGGCTCAGACATTTACTATATGTATGTCCCTCCCCAAGTCATCTAACCCGTGTCTGCCTCAGTTTCCTCATCTGCAAAATGAGGATGATAATAATAGCTCTGACCTTCCGGGGTTGTTGTGAAGAGCAAATGAAATAGTATGTGTAAAGTGTTTAGCAAGATACTTTGCACATAGTAAGTGCTTAACAAACCTATTTTTCCTTCCTTCCTTCTTTCTTTCCTTCCCTCCTTCTTCCTTTCTTCCTTCCTTCCAGGAAAATTCCCCTTAGGTGTCAAGGTAGCAGAATGGAAAGGACATTGGCTTTGCAGTTAGAGGCCTAGGGTCTAAAGCTCATCTCTGATGATTGCTACCAGTACTTGGACAAGTCATTTTAACCTCTTTTGGCCTCAGTTTCCTCATCTGTAAAATGAGAGGGTTGTACCAGATGGCCTCTGAGGGCCATTCCAGCTTTGGATCTGTGATTTTAAGAGGGATGCTATTAATGAAAAGAGCTGTGGACTCAGAGTCAAGAGATGCAAACGCAAATTCTGCCCCTTCTACTAACTTGCCATATGGTCATGGGCAGATCCTTTTACATCCCTGGACCTCAGCCACCTCATCTGCAAAATGGAAAGGTTAGGACAGATGGGCTTCAAAATAATTCAAAACTCTGGCAAACATAAGGAAACATTTCTTATGCTTTGATGCCAACTGACCTAGGACCTCATGGGTGTGAGTATGCCATCCTTCATGGTCCTAAACCATCTCTCTCCAGAAGCCCTCCACTGAGTATCCATCCACCCCATACAGTGGAGGCCTTCCTCTGACTCTTGGAATATGTAGAGTATACCCAAGCAGCCTGAGGTTCTCTACCTAGGGCTGTATTATAGAAAAGGGACCTGCCTTGGAGTCAGGAGACTGGGGTTTGAATCCCACCCTAGGTACTTCTTGGTGGTTGGCTGGGTGATGATGGGCAAATTACTTAATCTCTTGGAGTTTCAGATTGCTGATCAATATTACCGCCACTACCTACAAGTGTTGTCCTTGACACTGTATTTTAGGCTATTCCAAACCAGCTTTTCAAAAAAGTGTAACCTCACCCCCTTATAGAGCATTTTATCTGTACTTCCATGATATACGTCTCACATATTCCTGCAGTTTACAGACATTTGTGTTTATGTTTTATCCCTCACCAACCCAAAAGCAGGTAGGGACTAACACTTATCTATGGATTGCGGTATATGAAGGCTTGCTCAATCAAACAGAAATGAACTGGGAGGCAGTGCTGGCTAATGGACTGAGAGGTGCACTTGGAATGAGAAAGATAGAAGGTTGAAGCCTGCCCTCAGACACTCACTGGTTGTAGGTCCCCGGGCAAGATGGCACTCAATCTCTTCCAGCCTCAGTTTCCTTACTGGGAAAATGAGCGTTTAGACTTGATAACCACTAAGGACCCTTCCAGCTCTAAATCTGTTATACCGTGAGTGAGACTGGCAGTGAGAAGAATCCAGCTTCTGTCTTAGTCTCATGTGGTCCCAAGCCTCCAGTGCTGCCCATATGCGACCCTCCCCTTTCCTGCCATTCTATCATTTACCTAGTTCCACTCAGTTTGTCCGCATTCCCCCAAATAATCAGAACAGCACCGCGGCTCTAATTAGCAGGTCAGCTTCCGTCTCTGGCCCTTAGGCTCTGGAAATGTTGGGACAGCACAAGGGGTGAGGTACCAAACCTACCTGGTTTCCAGCGGGATGTTACTGTTGAGTAACCAGTTGTCCTGCGCATGGGCAGACTCTGGGGGGCCAACGGGGTGCTCCCCGGAAAGAGAGTGGTCTGTCGGCGCTGGGCTGGGGTTGCTGCGGGGCGTAAAGTTCCCTCGATTCAGGGAGTTGATGGAGGCCGCGTGATGCTGGTTGGGGGTGTGGGCGTGAGACAGTGGAGGAGGTGGAGTCCGCAACCTGGACGGGTTCTGAAGGCTTGCTGGGTGATCTAGGAGACAAACAGGCCTGTCAGGTCAGGGACACTGATCTAACCCTGGGCATTTTCAGCAGGAAGGAAAAACACAGTTCAACGTGGCACGGGAGCAATAATATATTGGTTACAGCCCAGGCTGACCGAGTACTTTCAGATTTTGCAAAGCATTGTACGTACCCAATGAGGAGAATGAGGATGACAGTGAAAATGCATTTCTACAAAACACTTTATGGTTTGCAAAATGCATTCTTTATAACCACCCTGGAATCTCTAGGTGCCTTCAAAATGAAGTCCCAATGCCACCTCTACTGGAAGCCTTCCCTGATTCCCTTGGCTAATAGTGCCCCTTTCCCCCCGTATTATCTTGTCTTTATTTTGTGCACACTTTTGTATTTGCATATTGAGAATAAAAATGAGATATTGTATATGAAAGTACTATGTAAACCGTAACAGACTGTTATCAATGCGAGGGATTCTTATTATTTGGAAGGAACTCAGTACAACAGACCCAACTCCATTAGGCAGGAGATGAAGCTAGAAGATCTTTAAGGTCCCAAAGAATTCAAACGTTCTATGGTCTGGAGTCAGGAAGACCTGAGTTCAAATCTGGCCCCAGACACTTACTAGCTGTGTGACCCTGGGCAAGTCATGTAACCCTGTTTGCCTCAGTTTCCTCAACTGTAAAATGAGCTGGAGAAGGAAATGACAAACCACTCCAGTATCTTTGTCAAGAAAACCCTAAACGAGGTCACGAGGAGTTGGACATAACTGAAAAACCATTCAATAATAACATGTTTCTATAAACCTCAGGGATGTCATTTACAAGAAAAGGATATCCAGAAAATCCACAAGTCAAGTTCAAGGCTCCACCCTCTAATGACCTTGAGGACCATTCTATTCAGCTTACCTCCACACAGTTAAACATACTAATAATAACTAGCATTTATATAGGGCTTTAAGGTTTGCAAAGTATTTTACACATATGATCTTATTTGATCCTCACAAAATCCCTGGGAGGTAGGTATTATTATTATCTTTATTTTACAGATGAGAGAAGTTGGGGGCAGAAAGAGGGAAAGCAGTGTGCCCATGATAACACAGAGAGTAAATGGTTGTGGCAGGACTTGAACTCAGGTCTTCCTAACTCCATGTCCAATGTACTAATCCACTACTCCCCCTATACCATATAGTCATTTATTCAACTTGGCGAAAGCTGGCTACACTGTGAAAAAGGTTAAGTCATCTGACGTCGTAGATACAGTGTAGTGTAATAATGGTACAAGCACTGGCCTTGGAGTCAGAAGGCCTGGGTTCAAATCCTGGGCTTTGATCTCTATTATCCAAATCATTCTAGGAAAATTATTTAATCTCTCTGAAATCTCAGTTTCCTAATTGCAATGACAGCACTACCTCCATTAATCAGGACATTTGGAGGAAAGGGTTCTGTAGACTTTAAAGTGTTATACAGATATGAATTGCAATTATTACAACACAATCCAGAAATCTCATGTTAAAGAGTAAATAAAGATGCTGTTTTGAAAGCTTAACAGGAATATAATTATAGACAAACATTAACAGAAATATAATTATAGGGAAGTGGCTTATAATAATAGCAAGCAAGCATATAGTGCTTTTAAAGTTTCCAATATTATTACACATATTATCTCATTTGATCCTCACAACAACTCTGGGAGGCAAGCTATTCCCTTTTACAGATAAGAAAATCAAGGCTAAGAGTTTAGTGACTTGCCCAGGGTCACACAGCTAATAAGTGTCTGAGGCTAGATTTGAACTCAGGTCTTCCTGAGTCCAAGTCAGTGCTTTATTACCCATTGATCCCCCAGCTGCCTCTTTCTACTCAGTGTGCTACAGCAGACAGCAAGCTGGAATGGATTCTGGAGACTTGGGTTTAAATTCTGGCTCGTATACTTATCACCTATAGTCACCCTGGGCAAATGAGCCTCCTTATTTTTTAAGATGGGAACTAACAATCCTTGTTTTCCTGCTTCACAGTGGCATGTGAAGAAAGCGCCTTGTTATCATCAAGACGTAAGGAAATGGGAATTCCTATTAATATTATTACAAAGAGCAGACTCAAATGCCTCTAGCTCAGGGAATGCACATGTACACAGGGCCTTGTCTCTAGAGAGGCTCTCCCAAACACTTTCTTTTGAATTCTATGAGCGCGTTAAGGAGTTAGTGGCAGAGAGATGGACACTTCAGATTAGAAGGAAGCCGCCGTTCTGCGGGTGCTGCATGATCTACCCCAGACTGACAGACCACTCACCATGCGTGGGGACTACTTACACCACCAGCTTGGCTAAGCACCAAGAAAGGAAGGGCTTTTATTAAATAAACCAGCTGCCACAGAAACAGAGGTTACGGCACTGCCCAGCTTTAAAGCTGCAGGGTTGTGTGTGGACAGAACCACCAAGGTCTAACAAATTTATCAAAACAGAATGACCTTCTCTTCCCCCTCAAAACCAGGCTGAGAGGCATAGATGGCAAAATTGACCTCTGAGGGTACAGGGAAAGAGGAGAGTCACAGATCTGGGAGGGCACTAGACTACGCTGGGTCCATGATTCTGTCCAAATTCCAAGGAGCTGTTAATTGAGACAGACAATGCCTCAAACATAAGCAAACAGGGCACCAGGTTGCCTTGGGTGAGTGATAATGGAGTGTTAAACCTCTCACCTTCAATCTACTGTCTGGAACCTAGACCAAGTAAACAGGAAGTATTATTACAGAGGGCTTTTTACTATCTTCAACATTCATTCATTCAAGTCATGAATGCATTCATTCATACAGCAAATAGTGATTAAGCACCTACTATGTGTAGAGACATACTGTGTGCTAGAAGAAATACAAAGACAAAACACGGTACCTGCCATTATGGAGTTTACAGACTAGTAAGATATAAACACAGATAACCAGAATACACAATATGAGCTCTAAACAAAGTGTTACGTGAAGTCCTGGAGGATAGTCATGATTAACAGGAGGGATCACAGTAGACTTCCTGGAGGAGGTGACATTTTAAGTTGACCTTTAAAGAAATGGTAAGAATTCAGCTCATGAAGAGAAAAAAGGCAGGACACCCCAGGTACAGGGAATTGAGTTAGCAAAGGTGTACGAGTGGGAGGGGGTGTGTTCAGAAAACAGAACAGTTCAGTCTCCTGCATTGGAACAATATGGTATAAGGCAAGTAAGATAGAGCCCTAAGCCCATGCCATATTAGGACCAACGAAAATACTGGAAATGGGAGGAAAAAAAGAGCTGGGGGTTGGAGTTAGGCACAGCAGCCATTTTCAGTTATTTGAAGATTGTCATGAGGAGTCAGTTAGACTCATCTTTGTGATTTCAAATCTGGCTGAGGCTTACACTTCCTAGCTGTGTGACCCTGGGCCAGTCACTTAACCCTGATTGCCTCAGTTTCCTCATCTGTAAAAATGAGCTGGAGAAGGAAATGTCGAACCACTCCAGTATCTTAGCTAAGAAAATCCCAAAAGGGTGGGGGGAGTCTCACACAACTAAACAGCAACAACAACAACATAAGGAAGAAGAATTAGACTTGTTCTCTTTGGTCCTAGAGTGGAGAACTAAGACTAAGGAGGAGAAGGCTGGACAGCTAGGTGGCGCAGTGGATAGAGCACTGACCCTGGAGTCAGGAGGACCTGAGTTCAAATGTAGCCTCAGATACTTACTAGCTGTGTGAACCTAGGCAAGTCACTTAACCCCATTGTCTAAACAAAAAAATAATAATAATAATAAAGAGGAGAAGGTGCAGAGGGGTAAAATTAGGTTGTACAAAAGGAAAAACAAAACTTCCTAATAATTAGATTTGTCTGAAAGTGAGATGGATTGTCTTGGAATATAATTGGTTCCTCCTCACCAGAAGTCTTCAAGCAGAGGCTGTAGGACAACTTGTCCGAGCTATAGAGCAGATTCTCATTCCAATAAACATTGGCCCAGATGGTTTCTAGGGTCCTTCTCGACCCTGAGATTCTGAGACTCTCCACTAACACGGTACAGTTCTACATAGGACCAGGAGTACCACAAAGGACTAAACAATAAACACAGCGATGTTTTCTTTCAGCCCGCATTCGAGTATAAAATGCCCTCATCCCTAAAAGCAAGAGGATCATAGGATTTAGAGCAGAAAGGCATCTTAGGATTCACTCAGTATAAAGCACTCATTTTATTTAAATTTTTTTTCCTTTTCCTCACTTTAAGATAATAGGGAGATGGAGAAATGGGGTTGGAATAGTAAATTTCTGACCACCCCTCTAGAGTGAACGCTTCCTGGTAACAAAAACAATTATGTCAAGATACCTAGAAGATAAAAGCAGACAACGTTGCAACATTCTGCCCTTGTAGTCCTCCATCTCTTTGTCATGTGGAAGGAGGGGGGTTTCATCATTTTTTTTCCTAAGGCCATTACTGGCTTACTCATTTTTTAAAGAGTTCAGCTTTCTTTTAATGATACTTTAAAAAAAATTATACATTGTTATATTCATCTTCTTTCATAATTCCAAATTGCTATCAGATTGGTTGGCCCAATTCACAGCTGCACCAACAATGTATTAGTATGCCTATTTTCCCATAGTCCCTCTAACACTGACTGCTCCCATTTTTTGGTCATCTTTGGCAACCTCAGCATCATTTTAATTTGTGTTTCTCTTACTATTAGTGACCCATTCACTTTGCAAAAGAAATAAACAAAACTTGGGGAGGGGAAAAGATATGCTTAAGGTCACAGTCCAAATCCAGGGCTTTTTCTATTACACTAAGCAGCTAAAATAAACAAGAGGATGGCGGCCATGATTTACTATTCAGATTAAAAGCAGATGAGACCTATTTTAACCCTGATTTTCCAAACAAAACCATACATGGGGCTTCTCAACAGGCCTAAAGGTGAAAGCCCATTTTTGTCCTGGATAAACACTTGCATCCTGAACTCAGCAAAATAAGGATGTGATGCCAAATTCCGTAACTCTCTTCATCTGACAGTCAG